CGCGATGGCTGCACAGGGGGGCGGGGGGTGTCCGTGTTCGAGGGGGGGTCCCGGCGATGTTGTCTTACTGTGGGGCCGCCGGACCCTCCGTGGGTCCCGGCTCTCAATATCACACTGATCTGATCTGAGATGTTGCCTTCAGCAAACCTCATGGTGTCTGTATATAGTCCAGCGAAGAGGATTTAAAAAAAAGACAAAAAAAAGACCACAAAAAAAGAGAAAAATTAGAAAAATGAAAAAAAAAAAAAAAGGGCAAACAACGGCCTGCTGTTTGAAACACCACTCTGCTTTTTCTGTTTTGTTCTTCCATCTCCTGTTTGCCCCCTCACACACCCAGGGTGCTGGGGGGATAAGGGTGCTTGGCCATGCTGGTGGCACCCACCAGGCTGCCCCTGCCCCGCTCCCACACCCCAAACCCTGACTCATTGCACCCCCACCCTCCCACTCCATGCGGCGCTGGCACTGCTGGGCTGGGGACACCTGGTCCTGCTGTCCAGGACCCCCCAAAACCCACCCTGCTGCCTGTGCTTGGCCTCACCAGCACCCCTTCTGTGGCTCCTCTCGTGGGGGCTCTGCTCCCTGGGCTTGTGCTGAACCCCACAGCTCTGCGTGCTGAACCGGAGGAGGAGGAGGAGGAGGCATTTGCTTCCTCCCTCCACCTGGGCCTGGCTCACCCCTCACTGCCCTGGGTTTGCTCAACTCTCTCGACTTTTGCTTCGTGGCCACCTCAGTGGGGCTGGGGGACTGCCCAACACTTTGGTGACCCCTGCCCACGTCCCCAGGCTCCACAGCCCATCTCTGTGTCACCCTGACACAGGTAGCAATGAGCCCAGGCTGACCCAGCTCCAAATCTCATCCTACAAGCAGCCCCTGGCTGTCCCCCAGCCTCTGCAGCATCCTGCAAAGGGGGGCACACTGCTGGTCCCATCCATGTCCCCACAGAGCCAGCGCCCCATGTCCCCACACCTCTTGTGTCCCCTCCATCCCACCCACCCCAAGGTTTGCTGGCCACACAATGTCTGTTGTTTCAGCAGCTGCCTCGGACACAGGACTGAAAAACTAAAAAGAGGAGGTGAGAAAAAAATTTTAAAAAGGGAGAAATAATAATAATAAAAATAATTAATTTAAAGGAAAAAAAAAAATCCCGTGTCCTTGGCAGTGTTGCCTGAAATCTGGCTATTTTTAGTGACATCTTGTACATATGACTGTAAAATGGTAAACCGTGTGTATTATATATTGCCTCATTATATAGTGTATATATATGTATACATATACATATATATAATATATATGAAGACTGTAAATGTTAAGACTAGTGTTCTTATTAGTATATTGCTTCACACTGAAGATTGTGTGTAACAAGCTGTTTCTAAAAGATGTTTATTTTCCTTAAGAGTAAAAAAACAGGTCATTGCATTCAGAGCGTCAATAAAGATACAACGATTGTTTTGGAAGTACGTGGCGCCCTGCTCGTGGCCTCACTTTATCCTTGGGGGGCTGCTGGGGTCCCCCCCGGGCTGTGACAGCACCCTTGGGACACCACGGGGTAAAGAGGGGGTGCTTGGGGTCCCGCAGCACCCAGTGTCCCCACCCCTTGCCCCCCACTTTTGGTGCCAGTCCCCCTCCAATCCAGCACACACCAGTATAAATAATCAGCTTTAATTGTCTGTACAAAACTCTCCAACTATGAAAATACCGTTTAAAAAGGGAAAAGGGGAGTGGGGGGAGGCCAGGGGAGGGGTCTATGTACAAGAGGGGGTGAAGCAAGGACACAGGGGCGCCCACCAGCCCCCCAGGAGCCCCGTGCCACCCTGCCAGCCCTTCTCCCAAAGCCTGTCCGT